CGTACTTCCCCTGTCGATCGGTTTGGTTGTCCACTCCTCCCGTGAACCCGGAATCAGGGGTTTTACGCCCAATAGAACTTGGCCCCGTTCCGAACCGGATCGATCGATCACGTGATACCAGCCGTAGACCTGATCCAAACCTCCGCTAGTCGCATACCCGCCCGGAGCCGTTGGACTGAACAGACTAGCCAGCGAGCTGAGATCGACTGAGGCAAGACCGATCAGTTCCGGCTGTTCTCGATCCGGCAAATCATTCACTTTATCCGAACCATTTGGTGCCACAGATGGGCCACGTTGATACCAAACGTGAAATATCATCGTCTGTGACCGGGTTGAGGGGGGCGGAGTGAATTGGGCAGAGACGAAACAGATGCAAATATATGCAAGACTATAAAGCTCAGTCACATCTGCACAGCTTCTTAGTTCTGATGAATATGGATACACAGCAACACATACATAACAATACTAATAGTGATGCACTTATTTTTATCTATTCGTGATACAGTAGTGTTGTAATCAGAATAGTACTGAATGTAGGAATACGAGAACCCGTAATGTACTGCTCAGAACTGAATTGGCTCCAACCTAAACTGCGGACACCAGTGAAATTGATAACAGCAAATGCTTATGTTTATTGATAGAATTAGATCATGTTTTATAGAATGTAATAGTTCATATGATTGGTTGAGAGAGCGTCCTCCAATCACGTAACCGTTTGCACCGACGCATCATATGTACTAACTCGAATGTCATGTTCGTCCGGTGTACCATTGGACGAGCTTCCTGAACGGCGATTGGATGACATACAACTGTACCTGGTCGTGCATGGATTGCGGTCACGTAATTCTGGATCACCACAAGTAGTGCAGTCAATTTTTCAGGAGGGGAATTGTGGTTGACCGAGGGCTGTACGGGAACACAACCAAATGTTTCCTTAGCCATTTCAGAGATTACAAAGATTTTATTATCGTTCAACGAATAAGCCCTATATCAGTCAAGTGTATCAAGAATTCTCATACACTAAATAGTTATATTCGCAAACAGCCGCGGTCCATTTCTCATTCTCACCAACGCAGACAACCAACAGTTAAAATTACTGATCATTAGCGTACATATCCTTTTGGGTAGAACCAAGCTTCGGTGGAGTATTGATCGGCAGTGCCAATCACGCCTACTAAGCCGTCCCCGGAACATTTCATTGCCAGCTACGTTGCAGTCCGCGCATAGATGCACACACGCGTGCACGGATCGGAGGAGAATGGTGTGCCTATGAGTTTGTGCATCCGAGTTCGAGTTAGGTTACGTAGAACTCGACGCAATTTATCTGCAGTTTTTAACCACTGGTTGTCTGCAGCACAGAGACCGATTATTCGGTGTTCGAGAATTCCTGATGCGTCTGAATACTGTCAACAATGACAGCCTGGCTTCATAACACCCTCGAAGGGGAACATTCATTTTCGGGGATTCATTCACAAATCTGTACAGATCATATTCAGTTCTGGTGATCACGAATCTTTGATCTGAAACTCCATCAACCAATCAAATCAATCTCTTCGATTGTGCATAACTGTGGAAGTTCAGTCAGTCATTGAGTTGCACACGTTCAGAGTTGGCACTCTCCTAACAACAATACTAAGTATAACACATAGAGACTGGTACATAGACCTGTGTATCAGCGGTATCAAGGTAATCACATGAGTATCATACAGAGAGAGAGAGCAACATGAACACAAGAACCATCACTTACCCGACGATTATATTTCTGAACCAACCACAAAGGAAGACGGACAAAGCGATGATAGTTCCAACTGACTGCGTCTGCATTTCGCATTTTCGGTGTCACAGCCACCCTGCTCTGACGACTGTGGCAATGACTGCGCGCAATTCGGGACCACAGTCCGTCGGGGGAGCTTAACGTGCCGGATTTGTCTCCGTCCACAGCAAACGTGACAAACACGAAACCGTCATCTGTCGTATCTCGCGATCCAAGTGCAGTGGATGGCGACTGAGTTGTCTGGCGCGTTTCTTGCGAACTGCTGATGTAATGTGCATGATCAAAATTCAGCTAAGCACAGCGAGATGAAAATTTGGGAGATGGTGACTAAAAAAACATAACGACCACCACAACGAAAGCAATCGAACAAATCCGATTAGGGGATACAATTTACGACCTATGCAGATGCCGAATCACGACCCATTAAACTAATGGCCTCTGCTTTGGACTTATGGCTTCTTTATTCGCGTAGAATTTACCGAAAACACTGATATCAATCAATTCCACAAGATATGACACACAGGCATAAATCGGACCCAGGGATCTATAGGTTTCAATTTTAGTATTTGTAAATTTAACTCCCCGTACAGTTGTAATGTCGCACGCAATCCACTGAAGCAATGTGCAACCACATCATCTTTTTTAGGAGTCGTAAGTAGTGCATCTCCACCACGGACGTATGCTGGTTCGAACCCGGAGGTCCACAGAGCTTACTGGATTGCGGTGTTTGGTTTTGTTCATTTCTCACTGCCCCTCTAATTCCGAGACTACTGTGTTTGGACTAGATCAGTTCAATTTGTAAATTCCAACCATCTTCATCAGACAGTGACTCCAATCACCCAGCCGCTGTGGCACTTCCAACTGCGGTATTTTCCCACTGGTTTTCTAATCAGGGGTTGTAAAAAACATCGACACTCCTCTAGAATTTATGCACACAGTAAACCGCCGTAGAACACATTAAACCCTTAGAGAATATCAAGATGATAAACGCGATGATCTCTCTCGCTCGTGATTTAATGATGTCGGATGCGAAATTATTCTACATGCTGAACCGCATACCCCCAGAACGAAGTCATTTAAGCTAGGTTTGAATCACTCCTGTGAACCGCGGTTCACAAGTTGTAGGTGCAAAAATGCTAAAAAAATTTAAGACTCTTATAATTGTGTGTTCCAATTAGCCCATTGCATTCTTTACAACCGCCAGACATTGATCAGTAATGACGTCAGGTGTCGGTTTGGCTGGTTTAGCGTTTGTTAATTCCTCATATGCTTACTTTACGTTATTTGTGGCGAAGGTACTGCACGATGGCCACAAAACGCACTGAACAGATGTTGCGTCCATGTTTGGACTCGCCAGCAGCGCATCCTTGGTGGTGAAGCTCGAACTACGAACCCTTGGATTGGGGGTGGAAACATTAAATGTGATGAGAGCTCAAATCATGCCGTAGTTCACTCGCGTCGGATGTCACGTGACCAGTCGACCTATCGACCTTACCAGTATTGATAGGCTTAATGATTGTTGATCTGTATTTGAAATGTTGGCCCTGTAAATCGTGTTGATGCAATTACAGTCAGCCCAGTCCATTTCAGTGACTTGTGTTTTTCACAAACCACGGGGGGGGGGGGGGGGTACAGTGATAACACTTACACTTGGTCTTTGGTATGAATTTCATTTATTGACTAAAATTGTCTAGCCAGGCTTGATATATGCCTGCATTGCACAAAAACAGAACATGATCAGACAACTTGTGAGCACGAAACAACGCCCAGTCGCGTTATTCTTGCACAAGACAGGACCGACTCGGTTAGAACAGTGAACAGGAAAATAAAATAAAAATAGGAAAACGAATGAAGTTTATTCTCCCTGTGATGAACTCCAAAGGAGGGTGTTTGTACTTTCTGCAATGAGCTTAATCTGTTGCGTTCCCTTTTTCTCCCTCATTAAAAATGACCTGTGGAAGAGGCATACATAAACTGATTAAGTCATCCGTGCTGCTGAATCTGAAGATCACAGTGGTGTGTATGGTTGTTTAGTTGGAAATCAGCCAAAGGGAATAAAAGACTTGATGGTCCAGGGGAGATTTGTCGTCTGTTTACGAGTCCATCGAATGTTAAACAAGTTTTGTAGACCAAATTATTTGTTACATAATAATAATGTCCAGTCAGCGGAACCGAATGTCAGATTGTACACGTACCGGGCTCATATTTTTGTTCAAACATTTTAAGTGGATCAATCTTACTTGCTCTAGAGTAATGGGCTTTCTTTCGACTTAGAACAAAGAAAGGAAGCTGTTTGATTCCAACCACATCAATGTTTGTTAAACGATAGCACGCCAGATATCGATCTCTCCTCTCTTTCTCTCGCCCTGCTCCCAAATCATCGATCGAATAAAAACCCGTTTAACTGACCTCTGAGTTCAGCCACTTAAATTTCGGTTGTGTGAAGAATAAAAGTGATTGCAGCAGATCACGAAGCTCTTAACAATAAGACATGCTTGTCTGCACTAGGCGGTTTAACTTTGCTTTATGGACGCAAGCAATTTAGATAAGACCACAACAAACCGGTGGGAGGGGGGAGTTCATTAAACACTCACAAACAAGAATAACTAACCTGTTGCTCACACGCAAATGATAAGCCTGTTCGACCACAACTTCAGCCGGAAATGTGTCCCGTTCGGCCGCCTCTTGTTCACTAATATCCACTTCCGTACTGCTGCCCTGATCCACCTCAGCAGTGACCGCATCCAGTATCCCTGGTTTGGTTCCGGATAGATCGAACAAATTCCATCCTAAGCGACCTTCTACACCCTCGAGGTCGGTCAGAATGTCCTCAGTTCTGATATCCCCACGCATGGGAGACTGGTGACAGATGAACGGGGTTGGTGACGACATTGCTGGAGTATGTGTACACGACAACAGTTCATTGAACAAACACATGAAATTTACCAACTTTGGGTCGGAAAGAGCACATATATTCGTCAATCGGTACGCTTTTTGATTTGCTCCCTCGGTGTTCATTCGACCTATAGTCATTTGATTCCTAGTCCAGATCAAACTTTTGATCAGATCAGGCTGAAATACAGCTGTTAATTTTAGGGCTTTTCATGAGCAGATATGAGCCGAAGGATGGGAACCTTGGGATCAAGCACAAACATAAACCGTTTGGTCAAATAATTGTCAAAAAATAGGCAATACCACATGTGAACAACTAATGCTGTGGTGAATTTCGTCGTGTACGGAGAGCGTATGATGCGTGAACCAGAAAGCTGGGAAACATTGTACAGCAGCTGTTTCGGCTTGGTCCGTGCAAATGAATGCACTGACCCAACTGGGGATCGCGGACCCGGGGGCCTGACGGGTAGAGAGAAGGCATACGCTGTCCACTTAAAAACCCGGCAGCTGATCAGATCGTTGTTCCTTTCATCTAGCCGATAGTCGGGTTCGGAACGTCATAACTCTGCACGCAGGTGCTCAGATAAGCAGGGGTTGATTCGTGCGACAATCTGGCAAAATAGTTTGTCTCATATAATGTTCCGCACTCGGAAGGGAACACCAACGATGTGGACGACGTTAGCAACAATAGGAGTCGCGGACGAGAGCGAACAAACTGCACCAACAGATAAAGTTGGGGGTCTTTCGAAGTGCGATGAAATGCTATTTTCTCTCTCTCACACACACACACACACACGTTATTTACCATTTCCACCTATCTGAATAGAAAATAAACATGCCGACACAATCCCCGATATAGTTTTGAAAAATGCCACAAACATTGAATGCTATCGCGTACAACTCGAATGACAAATAGAATCGACTGAAACAAAAAGCATCACGAAGTCACTCACCAGCCGGCAGTTTTATGTCATGATTGAATAGAAACTATCTAGGGGAAATGGGGAAATCTCCAAAGGCGGGAGACACGAGACTACATCCAAATACCGCTGATTTTCCCACATACCAACACCATGGACACTAATATTCGCCGTATACACCGAGATTGTCAGTGGCAAAGTCGCGCTGATAGCTGGACAATGCATGATGTCTCGCTTTCCCGGCGCGTAACTAACTGTTCAAGAACACCATTGCCGTACAGTAACAATTGCCTCTAAAAGCCTCAGTATGGTTGGGGGTGGGTGTCTAGGGTTGTGGCTGGTCACCCTTCCATTGCGTCGCGCGAAATGCTCTCATGCGACCAAGCGTCTCAAATAGCCGCTGCTGAGGAAGCCCAACTCACTGTCTTCTCGTTGCGTGGGTGTTTTCCCACCAAAGTGAGAGGACAAAAAAACCGACATCCGGGGCTATAACCGGGTTGATGGACCACTGGTAGTTC